AGAGAGAGAGAGAGAGAGAGAGAGAGAGAGAGAGAGAAATATTTATTGAAAGTTTGGTGAATTTATACTTATAGTCTAACCATAATATGCCATTCAGAATAAAGAACCAAGCTTCTATACATTAAATGCAGAAAGAAGAAAAAGACCTATTTGATTACAGAGGCCAAAGAACCAAAGTTTCTATACAGAAGACCCTTAACTCACATAGCGCTACTACAAGAGAGTAGAACAGAAAAAAATACTGAGAAGTACTGACACTAATAGTTAAACCATTACCACCACTGGGGATGTACGGCACGCTCATAAAAGCCCTGTACTAGTCTTTCTTATCTCACATGTTTTCTCTTTTCCTTGTTTAAAAATCTTAATTTCTTAATGTTACAATTATTTTACTGATACTATAATAATCAATAATAATGATAATAATAATAACAGCATTCATCTAATAGTATTAGAAATAGAAAGAAAAAAAAAAATCAAAGAATGGGGGTATAGGGTAAGGTCATGGCAATGGAAAAATAAGAATAAAAATAAATAAATGGAAAGATCAGATCAATTTCTACCCTACTTCTTGTCAAGTTTCTCCTATTCAAAATTACTAATTCAATCTGAAGGGAAAAAATCTCCCTTTAATGGTGTAATGACTAAAGAAAGAGAGAGAAAAACATCTTATATACACTATATACACTTTCCACTACATAAATATCACTCATTACAGCAACATGTACATAGTTCAAACAAAAAATCATGCAAAGCTGTTATCAAAATGTTATCCACAAAAAGCATTAAGATATATTTCACCTATGGAAGTTATTAAAAGAACCCTACTATTGGCTATTAATCCTTTTTATTATTGAAATGCTTAATGTTGCTTTCCCTGTGAGTAAGCATCTTTTCACCAATAGCAAGATTTAATTTTTCAAGTTAACATTACTAAAAACAAACCTACCACTCCCTGCAGTATCTAAATCCTCTGAAAGTTTAGTCTCTTTACTTAACATTATGCATTTAATAAATTGGTTGATATCAATCAATCAATAGGTTGAATGACTGATACTTAATGGCATATAATGGAATTTATCTTTCTTCTAACAATATTTGTATAATAACAACACACAAGTAAACAGTAGTTTTTAAAAGTCAAAATCACACAACTTACCTAGAATTCAACACAAAATTAAAAGTATAAAACTTAACATCTTTCAAAGATTCTTTAGCAATTGATATGCTTCCAATATGTAGAAGGAAATGCAAGTGTGTTAATCACTGAAAATTATGGCTGCATTTCATATCCTCTTTATCAATGAGGATACTACTATTTCTTAACACATATCATTGCACTAAAGCAAGTTCTTAAAGTTAGTCAGCAATCTGACTCTAAATAATAGTAAATGTACAAAATTAGCAAATCACTTACCCTATTTCACTTTATCTTAGGCCTTAATCTCTCAGTCACTTTACCTCTTACTTTAGCCGCTTATTTGCTTGATAATAAATATAATCATTAGATTGAATATCCTCACATGCTACAATGTATTTATCCATAAAATTTTAAAACAAAATAATATTCACTTTTGGGCAGGAATATCATATGGCATATTTTTACATATTATAAGACTAAAAATGTAGAATTTATGAGGAAACCACAAATGAATGGAGGAATGAGCCAATGTACTGCAGACTAAAAGCTCCGTCACAGTACAGAAGCAGTTATCAGTAATAAAAAAACGAGACAATTTTAGAGAGTCTAGGAGAGTTTCATCCTTTAAAATGTAAGCAAAGAATGAATGGACTCACCCACATACTTAGATGGATTAAATGATTTATGTCTGTTATGTGCAGTAAGAGAGAGACTAATGGCCAGAGAAGGCCACCTGTTCTCCGAAGCACAGGCCCCCTTGCAACACACAGCACACGCAAGAGAGTCGTAGGTCATGTGACAAACAAGAAGTTGAGTTGCACAGGGAGATGTTGGCAGACGAGCAGTAGGTAGGGTGATGCGCAGGGGCCAAGAGAATACTTACGTACCCTGCTAGTTAGGGAGGAAGAGGTCGAGTATAAGCCCACCTCACGTACCCTACTTCCAACAGAGGCGTGGTTACCCAGTGTCAGTTCAGCTGCGTTGATGCGCCACTGCAGACCCACAATCTCCTGCTCATACTTCCAGTTCCGGTACGATATAGTTGACACGAATGTAAACAAGATGAGAAGGGCGCCCATAAAATATAATGCTATTATCTTGACCTCAGTCTCTGATTGATTACATAAAGTGCCATCATAACCACAGTTTGGCATGTCCCTTATTTTCATTTTGGGGGCAGTTTCCATGAGAGAGTAATTCTGTGGAGGAAAAGGCAGAACTGAATATGGCTTCAAATCCAATAATATTTGAATGCTGCAGACTCACTCACTTATCTATACATATGCATCTATACACCTATCTGTATATATACAAACACCAACACAAATATACAAACAAACAAACACAAACACAAATGTACATATAGACACACCAAAAAAGGTTAAAACACTTCCAAAGCAACAATGACATATCCTTTTTCAATATTTCATATCCTTCAGGTACATCTTACTAGCTAGTCATTAACAATCAATCCTCTAGAATCTATCAAAACAGGAAAAAGAAGAAAAAAATGCAAACCAATTCATAAAAATGTCCTTCAATTATCATTTCAATAATAAAAAATGACTGAAATACATCCACACAAGGTACAGTAATTATATCAATCCTATAATATGCTGAAACAACTTTAAATTCACTAGCTTGATCTTTACTTTATTTTATTTACAACAAATGAACAAATTTACATATGCAGTATATCCTCCTATGATCAGTAAATTCATTAAACTATAATAACATAAGACATATTCTGAATTTATCAAAATTGCAATACTTACCCCTCCATAATAGTCACTTATTTTAAACAAACACTTGGAACAGTTGTAGGTATCATTGCTAGAGTCAGGACACTGTGAAAAGTAATACACACTGTATTTGCCTTCACTTGCTGCATTCTGATTCATGGTCATGTTGAAACCTAGAATACCTGAAAAAGTATATACAAATAACTACATGACTTATGTACGTATGGAGATAAATTCCACCAGAAGTGAGCATTCTTGCAGTATGATCCTTTAATATTTTCAAAGACAATTTTCACAACTGGGAAATAAGTATGAGAGAGAGACAAGGAGAGAGTATGAGAGAGAGACAGGGAGAGAGTATGAGAGAGAGAGACAGGGAGAGAGT